CGCGGCAGCAGCGGGAGAGGCGCTCGGGGACGCTGGCGAGGGCGGGCCAGTGAGGGAGGAGAGGGGATCCAGAGGAGGCGACGGCCGTGGCGCATAGGGTTGCCAGATGGACTGCCATCGGACCGCCCGCGTGTCGGAGCCAAGTCAGAGCGGAGCGGGACACGGCGACCTCGAGGGAGGCGCAACTGCCAGTGGTGCTAGGAGAGAACCGAAGGCTGGCGAGAGAGGCGCTGGCCAAATAAAGGAGGAGCCCACAGGCAATGCGCGCGAAGGGCCACAAGGGGCTCGCGAGGAGAGGACTACTGAGAGCAGCAGGTTTCAGGAGGGGCCGCTGCGGGCAGCAGTCAGGGCGCAAAGGGGCGCGGGGGGGCGCGCAGAGAGGCGCCGAAAGCAGGCTTGCACGCGCAGGACCAGCCGCCGTGGAATTGGCGCCCCCCGAGTCCGCCGACAGCAGGCCCCAGGAGGCGCGCCAGAGCGGGCCTGGAACGCAGGCGGACTCAAAGCCGCGGTCTGCGCGGCGATGCCCCGAAGACCCCGCGGACACTGAGGCGGAGGGCCCGGTGGGCGAGCAGGAGTGGGCGGCCGCTCGCAGCCAAAGGCAGGAGAGCCCGCCAAGGACAGCAGCGGGCCACGCAGCGACGCCCCCCAAAGCCCAGGAGGGGCTCCAAGAGGCACGCCAGAGCGGGCACGGGGAACGGGCGGCCTCGGAGCCGCGGCCTGTGCGGCGGCGCCCTGACGGCCCTGAGGACGAGGGGGCTGAGGACGCAGCAGTCGGGCAGTACTGGGCGGCCGAGCGCAGCCAGGAAGCAAGAGGGCCCGCCGAGGCCAGCGCGCAGGACGCATGGGGCGCGGGGAGGGCGTGCGAAGAGGCATAGGGCAGCAAGCCAGCACGTGCGGGACCAGACACTGAACCGGCGCCCCCCGAGTCCGCCGAAGGCAGCAGGAGGAGGAAGGGCGCCGCCGCCAGGAGCTCAGGAGGGGCTCCAGGAGGCACGCAAGAGCGGGCCTGAAGTGCAAACAGGCATACAGCCGTGGCCTGCGAGGCGGTGGCCAGAGGAGGCGGCTGCCTAGCTCCTGCGAGCTGCCGGAAGGGCGCCCAGAAGCGAAGCTGTGGGCGGGCAGCAGGCGCCAGGCCCAGCCAGCCAGACGGCGCCAGGCCAGGGCAGCCAGCGGGGCGCCGCCGCCGCGCCACCAGGAGGGGCTCCAGGAGGCACGCCCGAGCGGGCCTGGAGCGCAGGCGGGCCCAGGGCCGCGGCCAGCGAGGCGGCGCCCCGCGGCCCATGGAGGCAGAGCGGCCGCGGCCGCGGCGGGCGCCGACAGAGCCCGCCGCCGCCCAGGCCCGCCCACGCAGCTTCGCGGGCCTCGTAGAGGGGGCCTGCGGGCGGAGGCCAGCCCGCCGGGCAAGCGAGGCTGGGCGCCGAGCACGGCGCCGCGCCGCCCTCCGCCCGCGGCCGCCGCGCGGGCGCCCGCCCGTGTCTTTGTTATGCTCATTTGTTTTATTGTGTATATATATATATGTATGTATGTATGTGCTTGTTTGATGTTTCTCTGTCTTTCTTTTTTTCTTGTTCTCTCTCTCTTTCTCTTTCTCTCTCTCTCGCTCTATCTCTCTCTATTTCTCTCTCTCTCTTTCTCTTCTCTCTTCTCTCTGCTCTCTTCTCTCTTCTCTTCTCTATTCTCTCTTCTCTCTTCTCTCTCTTCTCTCTCTTCTCTCTCTTCTCTCTCTCTCTCTCTCTCTTTTTCTTTTTCGCGACCTTGTCGCCGCGGGAAATGCCCCGAACTGTCTCCTCCCCCTTCTCCTCTGGCGCCGCCAGCTCGGGTCGAGCCTCCGCTCGTTCCGAGCCCGCGCCGCGGAAACCCTTCCGCTCGCCCCCCCGCCCTCGCAGCGGGCCGCTCCCCCCTCCCATCGCCTCCGCGCGCGCGACGAGGGGGGGGGGGCGGGGGTCGACGGCGGGCGCCGGCGCCGCCCCAAGGTCCGCGGCCAGGCGCCGGGGGCAGCGCCGGCGCGCAGAGGCGCGGGCCGCTGCTCGCCCACTGGGCGCGTTCGCGCCACCGCGGGTCCGCCGCCGCCCGCCTTAGCGCGGCCCTCGCGGAGGCGATGGCGCGGGCGTCCGGTCTCGGCGACGCTGGAGGCGGCGGCGCGCAGGTCGGAGCAGGTGACGCCGTTGAGAGCGTCGCCGAGCTCGCGCAGCTACGCGCCATGGCCGCGTCGCGCGTCGTGCTCCCTGTGACTCCGTTCAGGCGCGGTGGTCCTGCCGCCCGCGCTGGCCCCGACGGTCGGCGCGGGCATGGCTGCCGCCGAAGCGCACCTCAAACGGCTGCGCTCCGTCGTCGAGGAGACGGCGGCGCACCTCAAACGGCTGCGCTCCGTCGTCGAGGAGACGGCGGCCGACGCGCGCGCTTTGGGGCGCGCGGCCGCGCCTGGCGCCCTTTCTGCGGGCCCACGGGCAAGGGGCAAGTGCAAGAAGAGGGTCGACGCCGCCGAGCTGGTCAGGCAGGGGCTCGACGCGGCTTCCGCCGAGCGCAGCGAGCTGGAGGCCCAGCTCGCTGCCGCCCGCGCCGCGGCGGCGGAGCTGGCGGCGGCGGCTGGCGCGGAGCAGGGCCGTCGCGAGGGGCGCTGACGGCGTGCTGTGCTGGAAGCCCGCTTGCGGCCGTGGCCGCCGCGGCGCTGACTTGCCCACCGCTCGGGGCAGTGCCCCGCTCCTCGGGGCGCCCGAGCTTCTGCCGTGCAGGCTTCACCTTGTGGCAGTTGCCCGCTCATCGGGACGCCGCATGTGGGTGGGGGGTCGGCCTTCCTCCTTGGAAGCGGCCCGCTCCTCGGGGCGCCTTTGGCTGGCGCCATGCGACATCTCAGCGGCAGTGCCCCCGCTCATCAGGGCGCCGCGCGCAGCGGATGGGGTTGCCACTTGCGGCGGCGGCCCGCTCCTCGGGGCGCCGCTTCTGGGGGGCGCTGTGCTTTTCACGGGCGGCAGTGGCCCAGGCTGCGCCCCGATTCAAACCAAAACCTACGCGGGGCCCTTCAGCGGGAGAAGTGAGTGGTGCTACCAGCAGCAGCGGCCCGCTCCTCGAGCCGCCGCTCTCCGACGACTCGGCCCCTTCTTCCTGCGGCAGTGGCCCGCTCCTTGGGGCGCCGCATGTAGTTGGTGGCGCTGTCCCCCCCAGCGGCAGTGGCCCGCTCCTCGGGGCGCCGCTGGTAGGGGGCGGCTTTGCAGAGGTGGGCGCCGATGGCTCCCGCTGCGTCGAGGTCGGCGCCGACGACGTCGCCGCGGCGGAGGCCCAGGCCGTCAGCGAGCGGGACGGCGGCGAATCCCTGCGCCAGGTGAGGCCGGGCCATATTGAAGCTCCCATCCTGAGGCCGCTGGCCTCTCCCGTGCCGCGGGCGCGGGGGTGGGGCGCGTCGGCTCCGACCGACTCGCTTCCGCTGCGCTCTCAATCTCACTCGTTCCTTCCCTTCCGCCTTCTCCTCCTCCCTCCTCCTCCTCCTCCTCCTCTTCCTCCTCCTCCTCCTCCTCCTCCTCCTCCTCCTCTTCCTCCTCCTCCTGCTCCTCCCTCCTCCTCCTCCTCCTGCCCCCTCCTCCTCGCTCCTGAATCGCTGATCCGCTGAGGGGGGCCCAGGGCGCATGCGCCGTGAGGCCCCGCCAGAAGCCCGAGCGCGCGCTCGCGGAGCACGTCGCCCCCGCGCGGAGAACGCCGCGGTCGGGCATGTCGTTTTGCCCTGGCCTTGACCCTGCTGCGGGCGCCCCTCCTTCCGTCCCGCCCCCGCCTTCGGCCCTCTCTCTGGCCCTCGCTGGCTGGCCTTTCCTTGTTGAGGGTGCGAGGGCGAACGGGGGGTGGGCGCGAAGAGTGGAGGAAGAGGCCGGGGAAACAAACAACTACATCATGGAACGTCGAGATAGGACTCGGGGTCTCGAGCGCCGCTTTGGTACACTTCGGAAGAACTCCATGGAGCTGAGCAAGATGCTTGGATTTGGCAGGCTGACATTTGCCAGCCAACTTCCTGATCTTGGATGCAGCGCATGCCCCTCGTAACCTCCTTGCATAAAAGGGGGCCTGGGCCCCCGTTTGGACAACAATGGCCGGCAATTGGTGCCTGTTCGGTTGATCCACGACCAATTAAAGACCGCTAAACAATATCACGCACTTCGTTTTGGCAGGAGTTCCAATTCTCGCTCTATGGCACCGTGCGCGCGCCCAATATGTAACAACTCACTTTTGAACCATGGGGAATGGGATGGGTTCGGGGAAACCTGGAACACAGAACTTTTCACGAACCTGCCAAATAAGTGATTTCATGGAGGTCTCGCGCTCGGGCTCACACGTATGATTCGCTGGGGTTTCTCGGTCAGCCAACCCACTACCGAACACACCGTGCCTCTCCTGATGCGCGGGAACTGTCTCGACCTGCGTGAAAGCATTATACAGTGATGCCCTTCCAAGATGGAGCTCGTGGAACTTGTGACTACGAGCTCGGTCAGGATCTGGGCGGCGCTGGCACCCGCACGGTCGGGGCGAATCCTGAAGACTCCTGTAGCCTCGAGGCGTTCGGCGTTGGTGAGCTGGTGAATCATGTGAGACGCCATGTGATCGCTTGTGATAGCTGTCTGAGAAGTGGGCCCGAAAACGGTTTCACAAACATGCCTTTGACGAACTATCCCTCGGAATCTACACAACCGGCAGACCAGCCGGCCCAAGCAATCCCAGGCGAGTTGGGACTCCTCCCTCCTCTTGCACCTCCCTCCTCCTCCCTTCCTTCTCTTCTGCATTCCTGCCCCTCCTCTTCCCGCTGCTGCTGCTGTTCCTCCCACCACCTCCTGTCCCTCCTGCCTCCGTTCTTCTCTCCCCCTCCCCGTCCCCGCCCCCCCCCCTCGGCTCCGTCCTCGTGGCTCGCCGTCGTCGCCCCCGTCGCCCTCGTCCCCGCTTCCCGATCACCGCTCGCCGCTTCTGCTGTCTGCCACTGCCCCCCCCCCCTCTGCCGCCCCCCCACCCCCTCCCCTCCGAAGGCGCGCGCTCTCGGCCTCGCCGCGCAGCACGGTGCCGCGTAGAGCCGCCGCGAGGGGGAGGGGGGCAGCCCCGAGAGTTTCCCGCCGGGACTGCGGCACGGCCCTGAGCTGCGCGCGCTGTCATGCTCGGGGGGACGTCCCCAGACCCCCTCGAGTAATGAAAAAATCATGGCGGGAGGTTTTTCCTAATTTTCGGCCTCCTGGGGCCCTCACCGGGCCTCGGGAGCGTCAAAAAACGACTCAGGATGCAAAGCCGGTCATGGGGAAAGGGTCGGGACCTCTGGGGGTCGACGTATTGAAAAAATCATTACGTCGGGGGTCTGGGTCTTGCTCCAGGCATCCCCGGGTGGCGGGGGGAGCCCCGGACTCCTCGCCTGGACGCCGGGAAGGCCCCGAGTTGCGCGCGCTGGCCTGCTCGGGGGGCGCGCTGCTCCAGGCATCCCCGGCTTGGTGTCCAGGCAGGGCTGGGTTGGAGCATCGCATCGCGCCGCATCGCCGATGCATCGGCTTTTCGGCTCGATGGGGTGCATGATTTTCTCCACGCCAACGGCGCCGATGCATCGGCGAGGCGTTGGCAATGCGGCCCGACCCTCCGACCCCATCTACGCGGGCCCCATTCGGGAACCCTCCACTTGGCTGTCCCAGAAGCGGCGGTCTTTTTCGTATATCTGGCGCGGGCTTCGACGCGGGTTCGACGTGCACTCGGCGTCGCTTCGACGCGGGCTTGGCGTGGATTCGACGCGGGTCCGACGCGAAGTCGACACAGATTCGACGCAGACTCGACGCGGACAGCGGCTCGATGCGACAGACGTGCGAGGTCTTGACCTTTTTCTTGCGGGGCCCCCGGCAGTCCCGACTCCTTCCTCGGGGCAGCCTCTCTGTCCTGATCTGTTTCGTCGACGGTGGGAGGAGGGGCGACGGGAGGTGTGTTCAGGCGATCGCAAGCATTCGAGCAGTGGCGAACCGTCCTGGCTTTCCTATAGTCCCACCAAAGAATATTATGATAACCTTTTGTGGTCTGCACCAAGCGTTCTCAGAACACTTCTAGCTGAGACTGCCCTGTCTTAACACATCGGGCTTGTGTTCTAAGAACATCACTTTTGTTCTTAAAACTTCTGTGGGTTCTAAGGACATCTCGTGGTAGGCCTATAGGCTTGCCGGGACGGTCGGTCCCTGCTCAAAGCATGGATCAAGGGGGCGTGGATTCGCGACGGGTCCCGTTTCCATGGGGGAAGTCGCGGCGTCCCGCCGCCGAGCGAGGTGGCACCTCCAGCGATCCGTGGATGTGGCGACCACGCGCCAGATCCATGGATCGCTAATCCATAATTGAGCCTGTTTTTTCCAACTCCGGCAAGTTTACCTGCATGAACGAGGGGGTCCTGAACCTGACGCAAGCCGCAAACGACTTGACGTGCGGAAGCCACGCAAGTCGAAAGGCACTTGCACGGCAGTGTTCGTCTGAAGAGGGGCGAGAGGGGGGGGGAACGCCACAACAAACAAGAAAGAACAAACACAAGCTCTGATCCATGTTTGCGCGCCCCCGAGTGTGGCCCCAGGCTTCCACCGCCTCGAGGGGACCGGAGCAGATGTCCGAGGCCCAGGAGGTCTCCGCGAGGCTGCCCACCGCCCTTTGGAACCCAGGCGTGTGCTCGCGTCCAACAAAAAGGATTTGTTCGCCTTAAAAACGCCCTGAGCATTTTTTAGCGTTTTCTATGTTTGGCTCTTGGCAGGCTGAAAACGCCAAAACAACGCTACGTTTTTTCCAGCGTTATTAGGGCTGCCGCTTTGTCGTGTTTTGTGTGTTCTGCTTTTGCGTCTTCAGGTTGACAATGGTATAATTCTATCTTAATTCGCTAAAAAACGCATCATTGTTTCAGCGTTTTCATATAACTGCTTGCTGGTGGTTGATTCCTCAGAGGGTAGAGCGTCGTGAGGGTGTGCTTCTGCTCTGTAGTCCTTTCTGGCTCAAGTCATTTCGGCTGAGCCACCGACCTTTGCGGCCTCCAGGGCTGTGGATGCGCGCGGGGGCCCAGGGTGTGGTGATCCTTGTCTTCCACGTCGACTTGGCCTGGACCAGACAGCTGGGGGCGGCCGCCCCAGTGCCGCGAGGCCCACCCCCGCCGCCATTTGTGGGGGCGCGGGTGCCCGCCCCGCCAGCGCGGGGCTGTCCTGCGGCCGCGGTGCCACCCACCCCCGCGCTGGCAGAAGCAGAGCGCGGAGCTGGAGGCGGCCAAGGTCGACTTCCACTGGGGCGACGCGGTCTCGTTCGTAGTCTCAGCCGTGCCAGGTCGTGGATCGGCCGCTGGGGTGCACTACGGCGCTGGTGGACCAGACGTGAGGCTCGTCGGCTCCCTCGTCAAGAGTGGTGCGCTCGCGGCTGTGTCGCCCGACTTCGACGTCTACGAGGGGCAGTTGAGCTCCAACAGCGGCGGCCTGGAGGGGATCCGCTTCTCGTGTTCGGTCGACGTGTGGCCGCGAGGGGCCCCCGCTCTTGGCAGTGTGCTCTACACCTTCGCGTCGTTCAAGCCCGCCACGGTCAACGAGCTGCCAGCAGAGGCGGACCAGGTGAGCAAGCTGGAACGGGCTCACCACGGGTTCCCGCTGGTGGGCGAGGCGGCCCGAGCATCAGGAGCCGCCGCCGCGGTGGGGACGCCCGAGCCCGCCATGGGCCCTGCGCCTGGGGCCCCCCGCCTCGCCCCGACAGGCGGGGCGCGGGTCGTCGCGGAGCCGCTCGGGGGCCACGGCATCGGCGAGGAGTCCAAGCTGCTTGCGGGGGCTGTGGGGCTGGGGACCCGCGGCTTCGTGGTGATCGACAGGGGCGCCGCCATGCTCGAGCAGCTGGGAGCGGGGGCTGACCTCACTCGCTGGGGCCTGGCGCGGAGCGACTTTCTCTGCGATGGCCCGAGGTTCCTGGCGTGGTCCCCGACGGAGCGGACCCTGGTCGACGCCGCGCGCCCGATGACGGCGTGCCCGCGGCAGGTGGACGCGGTCCTCTGCGGGGCGGTGCTGTTCGTGGTGGCGGTGGACGGGCTCAACGTGAAGAACCTTATCGATGGCGTGCTCCTCCTGAGGCGGATCCCCGAGCATGGGGAGGCCGCGGCAGAGAATCTCGAGGCGCAGGGCTACGAGGGGTCGGACTACTACCTAGGGATCAGCGAGTGTTCGAGAGGGGCCCCGACGGTGCCTTCGCTCTGGGCTCACACCGTAACCGAGCTCAGCGAAGAGGCAGTGATTCTGAAGGAGAAGCGAAAGGCGTCGGAGGCCAGGGGAGCAGGCGTCGCGGACGTGACGGCCAAGGCGGACCCCTCGGCCTCCTCGAAGACATGAAGAAGGGAGCGGGGGCGGCGGTGCCAGTTGTCGCCCCCGTCTCTGACGTGATGGCTGGCGTGAGGTCTGAGGGGGTCTCCTCCCAGGTGCAGGTACACAGGCCTCCAGTTCTACCTGGACACGGCCGCACCTGGGACAACGTGTCCCGCGTCCCTCCACTGGGCCCCATCTCGGACCACAGGAGGAGTGTGCAAGACTAGCCATGGCAGGGGTGAGGGGCAGCCACTGACCGAGGCGGGTCGGTAGCCCCCACTCTAACCTGCGGGATTGGCTAGTCCTTCACCCTCGCCGCTGTTGTGCTGGGTCACGGGTCTTCGTGTGCTTGGACTTTCGCGGTCAAGGGGTAGGGTTTGGTGGGGGGGGGCACGGCTAACCCATGCCCCTCCGGGGGCGCCCCCTCTTGAGCCTTCGGTGGTGTTAGGTTCGTTGCTATTGTTTTGGGTCGCTGGCCACTGGCACTTGCGAGCCTATCACTGGGCGCATTTGATTGTTCGGGGGCGGGGGTGTACAACCCACTTCGTCCAAACACCTATCAGGGGCGGTTGGGTCTCCGGACCTTTCCCCTGATGGTGGGCGGGGTGGCAGGACGGCGACGCCCTTGGTCAAGGCGCACCGTCAAATGGGTGCGCACATGTCGTTCGGCGGTGGTTTCGGCCATGGTCGGGCGGGGCGCGCAGTCCCTGGGCGCCGGTCTCACTCGGCGGTGGTTTCGGCCATGGTCGGGCGGGGTGGGCGTCCTAAAACGACCCATCGAAACCAGAAGGTGGTAATAAGGGCCATAATAGATGGGAGCGCGTAGTGAACAGGATAGGGAAGCTATGAAGAGGGCGAGAGCTTGGCAACGGAATGCGAGGTCCATGAACACGAAGCGTCTGGGGACACGAGCGCCACACAACAAGTTTCGGATTTTGGCTGCGCTGCCCGTGTTGGCGTTTCTACACCACGCGCTGTCGATGGCGGGTTCCCCCGACCATCTGGGGGCGGCGCAAGGAAGGGCTTGCCCCATCCATCTGCGCCAGGTCGCCGGTTTCCACCGAGTGGCCAGCCGCCCCCTGCCCCACGCGGCCGGGGAGAAACGTGTGGCGTGTTTTTGGGTGAAATTGTTTTGTGGGTGATGTTTCCGTGAATCTCGTCTCTCGGGCGCTCTATTTAGGACGAACGTCTGGATCGTCGCGCCCCCCCCGTGGGTGGGGTCCCAGGGGGCGGGGTTTTCCCTTCGGGCCTCCTGGGGCCTGGACCCAGGGTGGAGCGTCATACAGCCTGGCATTTCTGGGCCTCTTGGCGCGTCGGCCCCCCAATAGGGGTCGGCATGACTAAATGCACCAAGTGGGGCCACTGTGCGTGGTGCTCACCGCTGTTGCGGCCACCTCCATGGGGGACCGGGTCGGGCGCACCCCTTTCTCGACGTGCCTCCGCTATCGTGTTGCGCGCCTCGGGCGGTCGTTGCGTGGGCGGGCGCGGGTTCTGTTGCGGGGCTGTGCACGCGATCGAGACGCGACGGTCTTCCCTCTTTCCATGGTTGCCCCCCCCCCCCCCCTGCCACTCTCTGGTCGGGCTCCCCTCCCCCCTCCCCTTCCCCCTCTTCGGGCCCCCTGGTTCTCGTCTTGGTTTCCTCGGTCTCCCTGGTTCCTGTTCTGGCCTCTTGGGCTCCTGCTCCCCGCGTCCCCCCCCTGGGGGCAGACTGGAGAAGGGCGGCAGGGGGGCCAGCCGCTGTGGGCTTCCCCATCCTTCAGGTTGTACATAGAGGTTATACCGCCTGCTGGTCCGGGAGTCGCGCAGCGGCTACACCGCGGAGACGTGGACGTGGACGCGGGGGTCTCCTCCGACCGCAGTT